CTAGAGCAGTCTGGTCGCGGCCCGCGTTTCCTGGCCCTGCGAGAGGCCGAAGCCGGTCTCCTTCGGCCTTGGCGTCGACTTTCGCACTTGTTTCAATCGCAGTGTCGGCTGGGCTTGCCCTATGCCGCTGTGTCAGCTCCCGCGGTGCAGGGTCGGTTCTGTTAGCCAGGCCGCAGCTGTCGGTAGCGAGCACACGGAATGCCAGCGACGAGAGTGAAGTTCTGCCCGAGCAGCGTAAACTGCTTGGATGAGCTCCAGGGGCACAGCCGTGTTACCGCGACAGGGGGGGTATCTAAGATGTGTGGCGTAGAAGCTGCCTGTAGTCTTTGCCGTGAGTTCCAGATGAACTGGACCACCACGCTGTATTGTGTACTGCCAGTGTGACTGATAACAGATAAACGTAACCCTGGGAAGGTAGCTACTCCCTTCTGGGCGTTTCACCCGAGTAACGGTTCTCTGTCATGGGTTAATCAACAATAGTTATCAGTTTATCAAAAGGAAGCTGGATAAGCTGTGAGCTAGTTAGAGAACAGACTGGTTGCCCGATTACTAGCCTTTCCTTGTTGCCACGTGCAGGAATGAATTAAAGGTGTTAATATTCCAAACACCTTCAAGATTAAAAGATTTTAATAAGCCTTATTGCTTTCTAACACAAATAAGGACACTTGTGAGAGATGGAGACAATCTGGGAGATCAGATAGTAGGGACTATCAATAGGCTTTCCTACTCTGTGATATAATGACAGTAGAGACCTCCCAGCTTTTTTTATCAGCAGTAGTCTGCGATGAAGTATTGGTAAAACTATTTCACTGTGAATTCAGATTGCTAAAAGCATTTCAATTGCTTTTTAGAAGTAATGTGCTAGTGGTATCCTAGCTTGATATGTAGTGGAAATTAAGAACTATATATATGTAGATAACAGGTATTTTAGCCCTTCCCACCAATGTCTTCTGCCAGTAACAATCCTGTCCATTTCAGGACTTGGATATGCAGTCATATTGTGACTTAAGTGTGAGCCTTCAGTTAGCAACTCAGGCAGGAGACAATAGCAGCTGCATAAACTTGTCTGGCAGTTAAAGGCTGTTTTGATTAATGAAGGCAAAAATTTGGGATATGAGACCTTAGCCTGAGACACCAACAAGAAACTTGCAGTTACAGAGCATTCTACCTCACAAGCTTGAGTCTCACAGCTTACCAGGTCTGATGTCCAGTGCTGGAAATGCAGCATAAGACTTCTTCATGGATGTGCACAGGCCTAAATAGCTGTAAAAATCAGTGCTTCAAACTTCCACGTAAAAGTCTGTTCATCTCTGATTTTGTTGTTTCAGGCAAATGTAACTGAATATATTGTATAACAATTTCCGTTTCTCCTTTTTCACACTGCTCTGTACCTTGCTGTAATTCTTGCTCTCATTCTGATTGTTTTAGAAATAAAGTTGACCAAGAACTGGAACAAGATGGTATCTGTGCTCCAAAATGTCAAGGCAACAATGGCCTGGCGGAAACACCAGCTCCTAGCTGACTTCGATGAGAATGAGAGCCCTGTAGCTGACAAATTCAAGACAAGGGTTTCTTTGAGTTCTCTCAATACCATCCGCATGTCTCTAAGGAAGCGAGTACCATTAAAGCAAGTAGAGCTGAATCTTCATAAGACCCCAACTTGGGAAAGTCTGGAAGCAAGACAGAAGTGCCAAACTCTTCAGAGTATTAAAAGATCAGCAAAAAATGCTTTTGGAACAGTGTCCCAGGTACTTTGCCTTTGCAGTGGAGTGTGGATAGAGTTTAGTTTTTGCTTCAACTTCAGTATTAAGATTTCCAGACTCTGTACAGAATGCTGTATTTGAGAGAGTCTATCCCATGCACTTGCACATTGTCATGATTGTCTAATAGCTACTAAAATTGGTAAATTCTTTAATATCCTTGCTTAAGTATAGACAAATTATGTATCTGGCAGAACAGGGAGAAAGGTGAAAAGAAGAAATACGAGATGTAGTTTCATCAAAACTTTTATTTCATTACTAAATAAATGCTTTTCCGCTTCTGTATTTCATCATGTATGGCAGAGCAGCCTTCACAAGGAGGAAGGTGCGTACAGACTGCTGTTGCTTGCAAAGAATTGTTTCTGAGAAACGTGTAGTGCTTTGGATTTTTTTTTTTCACTCCTTTTCCTGTACCCATACTGTTTGTTAACATGTTCTTCATTATAGTCAATCTAAGTTTAAACTGACAAAAACTGCTAGGTAGTAGCAGGGTAGCAAACTTGAGCTTGCCCTTGCCTTTGGCGGAGACCTCTGATTTTAACGACATCAATTATATACTAGGAAGCCTGGCTCTTTCCTGCACAAGAGCAGCAGGAGCTCTGTTCTGATGCCTGCTGAAGTCCTTGACAGGTTCCAAGGATTGGGGGAGCAAGTGACTCCTCCAATGCAAATGTGTACAGAGGATTGAGAAGTATTCATGCTAGACTAAACCTGATGTAAGAATGAAAGCTAGGGATTCAGCTCAAATATTGCTTGTCTTTCTGGTTCCAAACTCTAGGCTAATTGAGTTCATTTAGCATAACATGTCTGTCTAATGTTTCTTTCAGAAAATACAGAAGTCTTGCCAAAGCCCAGTACATTCGGTGGTGACCTTTCCAGCTGAACCCATGAGCAGAAGCTGTGCAACCAGTTCTACTAAGAAAAGAAGCACTACACCTCCAACCCCTTGCCATAAGAAGAGTGTTACTTCAGCAGCCAGTTCCACAGGCATCCCAAGATCCAGCAAAAGAGCTTTGCTTGGGCCAACAACGGTGTCAGAACATAGAGAATGGAGGGGCTTCTCATCCTGGCTTGGTAAAGATGCTGTCTCTCTCCGGAGATCAAGAAGAGCAGCAGCACTGAAGAGCCCTTACTCGTCACCTGCTCCTGCCAGCAGAAAGATGTAAGCCACATTCTTTTGTAAACCTTTTTTTTTTTTAATTACTGTGATTAGAGTATCTTGTAAGGTGAAAGGCAAGATATGAATGTTGCTGTCCTATTCCTCTGAAAGAGTGGGCTGTTCGAATAGTTAAGAAAGTAGTTATAGGTCCCTGTATAGACGGGGACTAAGCACTGCATAAAGCTGAAACATGGAACTTAATTTTGTGCTGTGACAAGAACTTTTTAAAAATCACTCTCCCACTGGGTAAGTTTTCACTGTGTCTCTCAGCACCAGTCCCCATCAGACACTAGAGACACACCTGAGTTTTTTGCTGATGCCTTTCTGGTAAAGAAAAATACTGTCAATGCATCTCATTCCTACTTAGCTCTAATTTTTTCAAAGGTGCTATTTGCATTGCAAAGATACTTGGTATAGCTCTGCTTATGCTGAGCTCTTTAGAGAGAGTAGAGAGATTCTTGCCTCAAAGACTTAACACAAATTAGGTAAAGGGTTGTGAGCTAGGGAAGTACTTCATAATGCACACCTAGGTTTTTGTTTTGGTCAAAGTCACATGAGAAATGTCAAAGCTAGAAGCTAAAGCCAAGCCTTGTGAATCTGAACCCAGTGTTTAAATTGGAAGATAGCTGTCTTGAGGATGAATGGAGATGTGAAGCAGTTAGTCAGTGGAATTAGGATCATGACTGCTACAGCCCTAAACTTCTCTGGGTAAAGTCTGGAGGTAACTAGTGTTGTTACTGCAGGGGCAGAGGATTGGGTAGCGTTACCTAGTCAGTCTGTCCTGCTTGATCTTTAGTAATGACCATTCTGTTTGCAGCGAGTTTGACTGTGAGTTGGAGCTGGTCTCCTCAGGGATTTGCCAATTGAAGCATATCTCCCAGGCATTTGATGATGCCACTGTGAAAGAGGAGAGGTAAATACTGCTAACAGTCCCTCAACTTTTAGCAACAGGTTACCTTCCACTCGAACGTTGCCAATTGCAGGCTAAGTGATCCCTGTAACTCAGGATGAGGTATAGTTGCAGAATTTTCTCAGCTGTGATGTAGCCGAGCCTTTCTTCAAGACACCTGTACAGATTAAACCTGCAGTTGGATGTATAGCACTAAAAACTAAAGGTCAGAAGTCTTGTCACAGGGCAATTCCCTAAATCTCTTCTTCTCTTAGAACACTTGATGTCAAGCATTCAATAATTAAATGTCAAGCACCTAAAATCCTCTAGAGAGGGCTTAGCATTAAGTACTTTTATCTACAAAGAGGTAAGGGCTTAGAATCCTACATAATTCAAAAAATTCATTTTTTACCAATGGGACCATTTCTAGATAACTATAGGTTAAATCTTGTATTAAGTTAATGATCATATCCACTGAAAGTTCACTATATCTCACTCCTAATATTCTCCCATCTGTCAGTGATACAACAGTTTCTCTCATCCATAACTGAAGACAGTATCAACCAGGTAAAGTAGTTGTTCACTCACCTTGTCTATACCTACATGCATTTGTGGGGAGAATACCTGCTGTTTGGCGAGAGAAAGGCTTATTAACTTGTACTTCTTTAAAGTATTATTATGCAGAACCACAGGGTTCTTCCCTCATATTCACTGTGGCTGTCTCTGCTACAGCAGATCATTGCGCAGCTGCAAAACTTCGCCTCTACATTGTGGATTAGTGAAACCTTGTGAGTTAACAATGAACTGCAAGTTGGGCTTCTATGCAAACAGCAGCTTTTCTCACCCCAGACCAGAAAACTACTGGTACTAATGTCTTTGTCACTCGACCTCAGTTCTCCCTGACTACTAATGAAGATCATAAAGCATGACAAACTATTACCCTGAGCTGTCCAACTTTATAGCCTTTCTTTTCCATCTCTAGCATTGTCTTAGCTATCGCATGTTAAGACGATGCTATCACAGTAATAGCGGTTGATACCTGTATTGCTGGCATTTTTAAACACAGCAATTGTACCTAAATGGATGGGAACAGGAACTCTTTGCTGTAAGTTTCTAAACATCACTTCTAGTGTCAATTCATTGAACCATTACCTTCACTGAGATCTGTATTGTAACAGTATCTTCATCCATTATGTTGGAAGTGTTCCTTTTGTTAAAGGGAAAGTTACAACCTGAACAGCATGTCCTCTTTCAGCAACAAAGACAGGTGTAAGGCGTTGATTGCTGTGACTTTTCAGGAAGAAATGAGAGTGGTTTCAAATGCTTGACTGAAGCATTAAACAGTGATGTGTACTGCTTCCACTAAGCTATTTGGTCCAGTTCTCCTGCATGTGTAGATGCATACAATGTGCTCTGTCACTGGCTGGTTTGTAGGTTGCCTACTGGAATAATTGTGAAATAAGCTTTTTCAGAGGTGCCCTTATAGACTTGCATATGACTTTTTGTTCTGGTATCCAGCTGTTGTGAGTTTTAGTGTTATGGCTGCCTTTTCATCTTTTCCATGATGAAACAAACCTTGATCTCAAACTGCTTATAGTTGCCAGCTTCATGTATTGCTCTGTTTTTCATTGTCATGAATTAGATTATATCACAAGAAATGCTCCTGTTGCTAGTTAAAGTATTGCAGTACTTAATTTGCGTAGTGCCATTTATGCTCACTGAAGGTAACAAAATACTGTTTTGCTAGTGTTTAGAACTGTTACACAGTGATAGCATACAGGTCCCAGACCTCTTCCTTGCTCCCATCTAACAGTTAATTTTCCAGCAATGTGTGTGACAACCAGTTAATTAATCTCACTGACTTCATGCTGCTAATGGCAGTCTTGTTCTTCTGCAGGCAACATGCAATATCAAACTACTACTATCTCATGGCACAAAACTTACAGTCTGCACGTCGATCTCAGAAACTTTCTCAAGCTATCAGAAGGCAAGCAAAGAAACTCCATCAAGCACTTGGTACCTAGACAGAGATGGCTGTACCTGTTGTTAGTTTATGAGGATATATAAAGGAGAGCTCTGTGTAGCACTTGAAAGGGTGCACTCTATACATTGAACAAGCCATTACATTTTATAATCTTTCTTGACAAAAAGTAGCTCAGGACTTCCCTTCCCTTGCTTTTTCTTTTCAAGTGAACAGGAGAATGAGAATCATACCTCAGTGTATTATCTCCTGTTGAGATGAGGGACCATCTTGAATGGGACTTTCATAAGTCAGCAGGTACTTTGAAACTTATGTTGAACTGACCAGTAGGAATGGCCAGAGCAAGGGCTACAGACTTATGAAGGGTGATCATAGGTAATAGTAGTATTTAGACTGGTATCCAATTGCCACAAGTTTTATATGAGTACTTTGCATACTAAAAGTACTGGTCCATTATTTTGAAAGCCTGATATTTTTTTCTGTATATGAACAAACCAAAAGTTAAGCATCACATTTAACTGGAAGTTAACGAAACAGCAGTGGCTTGTTTGAGTTCTGACTGCAACTGTCATTCAAAGGCAACAGGTTTCTGTGGAGTCACTCACACCACAAGAGAGGAACCACTTTAGAACTCACATTCATGGCCTTTAAGTATTGCTATTAGATTAGCCTAACAAATCCTATCTTAAGTAGTTGAGTTCCAGACAAATCAGAGTAACTTTGTAATTTCTTGCATATGTCAAGCATCTTGGCAGTTGAGTAAAACATTGCTTTTGTACTACAATGTCTGTCTTTGTTATACACAGGAATTGGTTACTACAATTAATGTAGCATCTTAGAATCATAGAATCATTATGGTTGGAAGAGACCTCAAAGATCATCAAGTCCAACCGTATACCTGATGCCACCATGCCTACTAAACCATGTCTTGAAGCACCACATCTAAATGTTTTTTGAACACCTCCAGGGACGATGACTCCACCACCTCCCTGGGGAGCCCGTTCCAATGCCTAACAACTCTAACAGTGAAGAAGTTCTTTCTAATGTCGAGCCTGAACCTCCCCTGGCGCAATTTGAGACCGTTTCCTCTCATCCTATCACTAGTTACCAGGGAGAAGAGACCAACCCCTGCCTCGCTACACCCTCCTTTCAGGTAGTTGTAGAGGGCGATCAGGTCTCCCCTCAGCCTCCTCTTCTCCAGACTAAACCACCCCAGCTCCCTCAGCCGCTTCTCGTAAGGCTTTTTCTCCAGGCCCTTTACCTGTTTTGTCGCTCTTGTCTGGTCACGCTCCAGCAGCTCAATGTCCTTCTTGTAGTGAGGGGCCCAAAACTGAACACAGTATTTGAGGTGTACTCACCAGCACGGAGTACAAAAGGACTCTGTTATTAGCTAATATCACAGTGCAGGTATTTTATTTGATGAAATATACTAAGCATTTGATACCCGTATTTTGCTTCTAATTACTTTTTGAAAAAAGTAACCCTCATTTGACAGGATTTTTTTGGTAGATGATTCAGTTTAACAAAGTTTAGTCTTTCAAACTAAAGCAAAGATTTCTCAGGCTTCTAGAATTCAACATCAGGGCTGTTTTCTATGGTAGCAGCTTTGTGCAGGCTTTTCAGATTACATTTACTCTAAGATGAATCTTCAAACAAAAAATTGATTTAGAAAACTTTGCTCTGCTTGATAATTTTTAAGATCCACATGTAATTTAGTAAAACACTTTAATGGTATTAAGTATAAATAAAGTATAAATATGGGAAGCAGTCATGTTCAATTCTGATTTTGTCAAACTAGACTTTTAAAATATTCATGGATTCCTTTAGGTTGGAAGGGACCTTTAATATCATCGAGTCCAACCATATTGAAACAGTTAATGAGGCCTGGAAACATGAAAACAACCCTGACTTCCAGGCTTTCAGATGACTGAGAGCTTTAGCTTGTGTTATTTCTTGATGTAGCGTTTTTTGTGTTGTGAAGTTTTGGGATCTTTTTAACTACATTTTAAGCTGCTGTTCCATACAGAAGTTATTCTTTGCACATACTGAAACTACTTCTATAAAGCTTTCACAAAGATGGTGTCTCATTACTAAAATATTTTCTTATATGACTTTTCAAAGGAAGGAGGGTTGGAGTATTGTGAAAAGTCAACCTCCAATCTAAGTATTATTTCAGACAGATGTATTAAACAGCCTCTATTTACAGTATTTCCACTGGCTACTGGCACATGTACAATGATGATCTAATACCTACCACATTACTGGTAAGAAAAATCAGTGACACTGCTTAAAGGCAAGGAAGGTTTTATTTAAGTGACTAATCTGTTGTAAGATTTTAAAAACCAACTCACATCAAAATCTATACCAGTTGTAGAAATCTTACTCCTTATTTCATATTAAGAAATTCATTATTGTACACTTCTGAATCTTTACAAGGCAGCCATAAGAAATATAAACATTTGTCACCAGATAGAACCTTCTCACTGACAAACAATATTTAAAAGTATGCACTTAATAAAACTATAGACTGAAAGAACATGTACAATTTCAAGTTTCCTTGTATTAATTCAGTTGTAAGTGGACTGCCCCCTTCCCTCCCCCACAAATAGAAAAATAAGTTATGCAGAAGGCTTGGGGTTCTGTAAGAGAACCGCCATTCTGGGCCCTACACCAGTCCTCCCAGAATAACCTTATTTTTAAAGCCTGCAATCTGTAAATTATGTTTCAATGTTGTAATCTCTGGTATACTATCTCCCAGCGTGTCATCGTAAACCTGCCTCTCTTTCTTTCTCTCTTCCCCCCATAAGTTCTGTACATCCTTACAAATAAGAAATGAACTGTCAAATTTGTTTCAGGTCCCCCCATCCCCCACAATTACATCCAGTTTCAAAGATACCTTATTGAGATAAGTACAAATAGAGGGTAAACTGTAATCCCCTTACCTTGGGCTTGAACAAAAATGAGAGAAAGAGGAAATACCAACACCTGATTTCAGTTCCAGGATTCTAGCTGCTCCAAGCCATTTCTCATCTCTGAAAAAAAGAGCTCTTTTCATCCAGAAAAATGTATTATTACCTCCATTTTTTCTGGGGGACTGAATTTAGGATCATCTGTAGGAACCTGTATTTACACTTGAGTGAGTAAACATCATGGACGTCAAATTACCTTGTTAAACCCATGATTTCTGCTGAAGCTATGAACATGGACCATGAGGAATCATTGCCCTTAGAGAAGCTGAGGAGGTACGTTGGAAAGTTTTGTGTTTATGGGAATTCTATCCTGTAGCAGCTCCCGATGAGGATGGAAAGTGCCACTTTCTCCCCTGCATGCCTGAAATGAACAATTTGGTGCAGAAATCTTGAGTCAGATCTCATGTTTGAAGCTCTAATCAGAAAAATGATGACACTGCGGTGTATCATTGCTTCTCTTGATTAAGTTCCAATTGTCTAGTACTTGTATAATGCACTCACCTTTCTGTGGCTTAGATGCAAGGGGGGGGGGAGGGGAAGAAACCTAGGGAAAATCCTACTTGTTCAGTAACAATTATTGCACTTACAAATTTTAAAAACTGAAAATACCTATTGATTTCAGGTATTATTAAAAATGCTTATAAACCAAGTTTTTAGCAAATTTAAGACAGGAAACAATATAGAAGGAAAAATTTCTTCTTTTTCCCTTCTAAATTTATTCTATGAAGTATATGGTGATACTATAGATCTAAGTATTGGGGATTTGCTTGAATACACACATGAGTAGTGCCCTGCCCTAAAGACTGCAATGTATGGGACAAGTTGTTTGCTAATAATGGCAAACAAAGGCTATTTTGCAGAATGGTGGAGCTTCCAGATAAAGTGTCATTGTTCTGCTTAAGTAGTAGATTAAAGTGTTTCTTTTTTTTCTCTAGTGTATTGATAGTTCCACTTCTACACAACCAGTGAAAGTTTT